AAAAAAAAAACAAAAAAAACTTTTGATTGATAGTGCAAGCAAACTGAGGCAATAAACAAAAACACACTCCTAAAATGTATTTTTATTAATTATGAATGTTGATTCATTTTAGTGAAACGCTTTATTATAAAATAAGTCTCTGTGTGTCCCTTAATGTCTGAACTTTTTTTAGGGGAAATATCTGGGTACTTATTGCTTTACCACCATGTTTTTACAAAATTATATTAATGAGAGAGTTTGTACTTTTATCAATGTATTTAGTATGAATTTGCGAGTTCACAATTAATGTGGATACCCTAATTAAGAGCCTCATTGTTTTTGCTCTGGCCAAGATTATAAATTTATATAAATTTACTTTCCCTCTGTACGTCAATCAGCACTGCATTTAGATTGGGATTTCACTTTTCTGTGCAAAACATTAACCTACCAGCCTAAATCTCTGAAGCGGGATACTACTGAGATCGACAGGACTGCGCTCTGCAATGTTCACGAAGCGAGCCTCCAGCACTGCTACGGCACATAATACATGAACCCACCTGCAACAAAACCACATTTTCAGCCCAAGCAGATTTCATCAGAGCCTGAGGTAAAACCCTTAACATGAAGTGCTGTCAGCAGCTGAGAGAGGCAGCTCAGAAAACTGTCCTTCAGCTGAGAGGAATGTGTATAATTGAAAATAGCAGGTTTTCACTGTAAGGTGCTCCACCAAGAGACTCCTGGCTACCTACTTGTCATTGTTGGCCTTCTGCAGAGCTCCTCCTCTTAGAGAGCATAAACAGCAGTCCTGAGGGAAAGACAAACACTTAGTCACACCACTGGGAATAATAAACAGATGAGTGAAAGTAGGTGCAACTGGAAAAAACCTTGTCATGCATGACGGCCAGACATAATAGTGCCCCCTAGCAGCTAGAAAAATGCATAGCAGTGGTTTTGGGAATTAAAAAACAAACAAAAACAAAACAGTAAACCTGCTCAAATGATCTAACTGACCTCAGTTATGGCATTAGCTTCACAGCGGGAACATCTCCACTCATCCAGATTAGTATCCTGAGACACACCGTAACAACCTGCAGAAAAAACATTCACAATTCATCAAATTACCTTGTTACATTTTCAAAAACATAGGGATAGCAGACAAATTACGTGAATGAACCTTTCTTTTGGAACATAAAAACTAGGTTATCATTTTATACCAATCAATAAGGGAAGAATCTCCATACACTTTAATGTTGTTTAAATATGACATTAGACAAATGGTTACGGAGACCATGTTTTGCTTTCAAATAAACGAGAGAAAAAAAA